AGAACTACCCATGTGTCCGTATCACCTTCAGTGATTCAGGTTGTGCACTATGTTGCCTTTTGTCTTTTGTGGCCGTTACCATACCTGTAGCACTATCCCATTAGTTGAGGCTTGGCATCTCAGACTGGGAGTTTGATGCTTGGGATTGGAGAAACCCTAGACCTTAGACCAAAGGTGTCTCCACCGCCTCGGCGTCACTTTGCTGGCACTTTTGGTCGTCGGGTCAGCATCGTAGCCTGGCTGCAGGGGTCGACTTCACGGGTCATCGGGTCTTGGTCACTAATGTGCTTGATGACTCATGATGACCATAACCATAACTGTTTGTTGTCGCTCAGATCAGTTTCTAGTGCTGGCTCGCACGACGGGGAGTGAGTGAGGTCGGCACAAGGAAGAGTCTACTTTTAGCAGATCCGTTCAGGCCCTGTGCTTCTACTAAACGCTTCGAACCCTTGAGCTCAAGAGTTACTCGCACACGGCTTCGATTGAGTTGATGGAAGCATCGTTGGCCAACGTTGGCTGAGCTCCCAAAGGCAAAACGATCGTCAGCTTCTGAATCCCGAGCGTGACAGCAGTTGGGGTTCAGGGGTCAGTACTACCGCTAGTGCAACTTAATATGTACACCAAACCCTATACCCTCAACCCCAAAAGCCCAAAAGCCCTAAAACCCTAAACCTGAAACCCCTAAGCGGCTGCACGAAGCACCTTGATTCCCTGCATTCCTTCCTAAACGTCCTTTTGACTCCAGAAGCATCAATGCTATTCCATGGGGGTCCTGATTATGGTTTAGGGTTTATAGGGTTTAGGGTTTGGGGTTTAGGGGTTTGGGGGTTTAGGGTCGAGGTCCCCTACAAGGCCACGTGCTCATATAACATAGGTACGTTGGGCCCAACGTGTATACTATTTGGGCGCATAGGATTAATTGCATACCCGAAACCCTAAACCCTAAACCCTAAACCCTAAGCCCTAAACCCTAAACCCTAAACCCTAAACCCTAAGCCCTAAGCCCTAAACCCTAAGCCCTAAGCCCTAAGCCCCAAACCCGAATCCGTGTTCCAACGACAGAGTCTGGGCGTCTGCACACCAAGGCCTGAGCCACTCTGCTGGGTCGGCGGCAGCTTTGGGGGTTCAGTTGTCATAGGGCTTGGGATTTAGGGTTTTAGGGTTTAGGGTTTAGGGTTTAGGGTTTTAGGGTTTTAGGGTTTTAGGAAGTTTTGGGTTTTGGATTTAGGGTTTCAGTTCTAGCATTTCATGCGGGCTTGGGGTTTAAGCCTTAGGGCTTTAGGGTTTAGGGTTTAGGAAGTTTAGGGTTTTAATTCTAGCATGGCAAGAACGACGGCAATGGCAATAGCAGCGCTGGTGATACTAGTACCAACAGGATTTCGGAGCATGAGATGCACACAGTTTGTTTTAGGAGCTGTATGATAGTAACGTTTCGTCAGATGCGCCAAACCCTAAACCCTAAACCCTAAACCCAACCCCTAAACCCTATACCCTAACCCTAAACCCTAAACCCAACCCCTCAACCCTAAACCCTAAACCCTTAACCCTTAACAAGCCCTCTGGGCTTGGGGGTAGCTTTCTCGCTACTTGTTTCGGTGGAGAAGGTACTGCCGCTTGGAGGCTTTGCGGTGTTGGTTTAGGGTTTAGCCGTAGAGCCTGCACACATGGCTTTATTTATCTGTCCATGCATTCTATACTGATATAGCAGTACATACATAAATACCTACATACATACATACATACATACATACATACATACATACATACATACCTGCATACATGCCTACCTACCTACCTACCTACCTACCTACCTACCTACCTACCTACCTACCTGCCTACATACATGCATTGGACATACATACATACATACATACATACATACATGTTCAGGAAACTTTAAGCTTTGCCTTAACCCTTCTGAGCCTGCTTTTGCAGGGTTATACAGGAGAAAACCAGAAGAAGGTAGGCTTTTGAGGCGGGGCATTGTGTGGATTCCATCCATCCTAAACCTCCAACTCTACAATCTGTACCTTAACCTACCAAAACCCACTTTCTTGTAGGTTCTTATTTCCACCCTAATATGGGATTTATAGGGATCCTACAAAAAGTAGGTTCCGGTAGGTTAAGGTAGGCTTTAGGCTTTACATTCCAGGAATGAGCAGGTGGGCCGAAGGACGAAGTCCTGTGCCCTGGCTACACGAGCCGACTTCCTGCTTCGCAAGTATGGTTTTGGGCTTCGGGTTTAGGGTTTAGGGTTTAGGGTTTAGAGCTTTAGGGGTTTAGGGTTTAGGGGTTTAGGGTTTAGGGTTTTGGGCCTAGGGTTAAGGGTTGACAACTTACGGTTTAGGACCGCCTCGAAACACTACACCCGAAAGCCTACAGCCCATGTTACTTGGGGCATCTCTAGGGGTCTTAGAGCGTATGCTTTGACCAGCTTTTTACCTTTTCGTGAGCACATGGTTCAGAGTATGAAAGGTTCGAGTGTTGCAGGTCCAATGTGGTTTTAGCATCATGTTGTTGACCATGAGGTGCGGCAAATAAACTGCAACATACATCACATGCGCTTCTGCGCAGCCCATGCAGATGCATCTCTAAAGACCCTTCGCCATCGACACCTGCACCCGAAACCCTGAACCCTTGCAACGAGCCCAAGCCCTGACACTCCAGACCCCATTCAAAGTCCTAGCCCGCTTCCATACCCAACAACATGGATAGTCAGATTCGGGCCTGAAACCGAAACCCTGAACCCGGAACCCTAAACCCTGAAACCCTAAAGCCCTACGCCCTGAAACCTCAAACCCTGAAACCCTAAACCCTAAACCCTAAACCCTAAACCCTAAACCCTAAACCTCAAACCCTGAAACCAACCCTGGAGTCTTATGGACCATACTTGCTCAAGCTTTAAGGCTAGGCCAGGCAGCCTGAAAACCAGGGCGCCGCTAGCAGAAAGAGCAGAAGCAGGGTTTAGGGTTTAGGGCAGCATCCATGGGCTTAAGTTTTTGGGGTTTACGGTTCAGGGTCTACGTGTCCAGGTGCATGAGCTTTGCATGATGGGCAGTCGTGACCCCTACATCCCCTTATAGTCCTTGTATACCTGGGGTTAGGCGGTTAGGGATTATGGTGGAGGCCCCGCGTCTTACAGCGCTTTGTTGCTGGGTTTGAAAGGGTTTTGGAAGGGTGCCGAGGCCTGACGTTTATTTATGGCTATATGGTTAGGGATCCTGGGCTTTATCGTTGGTACGTGTGGCCTTGTGCTGTTGTTGGTGACGCGGTCAAAGTTCTTAGATAAGAGGTTTCGGAACGTCTTTGAGCCCAAGACCTTTTTATGGACCTTCTAAAGCCGTATAAGAGGCTATAGAAGTATAAGAGACTGTAGAAACCCTTGTTCGTCATTTGTTGTGGCCCCTCTATTAACAGCCAACACCTCTGCCCAAGGGTCCGACAGTCACGGCTGATTGACACTTCCCAGGTACACAACTACTGACTACGCCTAAGCCCTAAACCCTAAGCCCTAACTTTAGGGTTTTAGAGTTTTTGGCTTGAGGTGTTAGGGTAAAGGGCGCAGGTTGGGGTTGAGAGTTAGCGGGGTATACTCTTGAGGCCCAAGCGATTTCGGTCAATTTCCAAGGCTCCAGGCATCCAAATGGCGGGGTTTTTCTGTGTTTTAGGTACCAGCAACTTTGCAGAGTATAGGGTTTAGGGTTTAGGGTTTAGGATTGGCCCTGCTACACATGTGTGCCTGGTCCCGCAATCCCCAAAAAGCCTTGCAGAACCCTTTTTGGTTACCCTCACGACAACTTTAAGAGCTTTATAGAATCCGTATACAGCTCTTGAGTTACCTTAACGATAATCGAATCTTATAAATCCCTGGATAAGTCGGATGCCTGGACCAACTGTAACTGTCTATTGGCTCGAGAAGTCCGTGTGCACCGCCATGCCGAGATGGGGGCGAAGGCGCGTCACGGTTGCGACCCGGTTTCGGGTCGAGAATCAGCGTCAGGGGTTCCATAAGGGTTCCATATGAGCTCGATCCATAAGGGTTCTGTAATATGGGGGCTTAAATAATTACCTATACTATTTTGGTGGAACCTTAGTTTACATAGGATATACCCCAAATCTCTATTCTAATTATTGAGGCCCCTACATTAGGGTTTGGGGGTTAGGCCGGTTAGGCTTTTCGACTTGGGGGATAGAGGGCAACAGAGGTTTAAGGGCTGTGGCCTGGGTTCAGAGCAGGGTTTAGGGCTTGGAGACTACAGGCCTACGGCTTTAAATTCGCAATAGGTGTGTAAATGCATCTATAGTGTATTACTGGAGTGCAGCCTTACAGTGCCTCTTTCGAGGATTTTGGGTGTATATTGCTTCTATGGTGTATTTCACAAAGGGTTTGAGAAGAGATGACAACAAGTGCTTTGCTTTCCCAGATGGACGAGATAGGAAAGCTAGTTGAAGACGGCACTGTTGCCATGGGGAGGCTCAAGGAATCGATACCAAGTCATATTGCTGACATTATTTGGTTTTGGATTCAAGATCTAGGTTTTAAACTCAGTATCTCTTGTGCTCGGATCAGATTGTCTGTATAGGTGAGTGTTCTCTGAGATATCATCTTGTCGAGGCCGTGCCGAACTATTGTCCGATGGTGGAATGTCCGTGGTACGACTACAGATGACCAACTGCGTCCAAGCCTCCGGCAGTCTAGCACTTCCTGTTTAATGTATAATATGTTTTCAGCAACCGGGATACAACTACAGCCCCCGAACATCTTTGTGAGACTGTGTTTTATCCGTACGTTCTTGCAGGTATGCGTCCCGTTGACAAGTTTCTGCTTCCCCGCAAGAGAAGCACAAGCTTGTTAATTATTGCGTGGGGCCCATGCAAGTTCAGCCCAAGAGCGCGCAAGCTACGCCATACCCCCTTTTTTAGGGTTTATATAAGGGAAGCATCATGAGGAACTATGAATCAAAAGGTGCGCTAGTTGGGGTTAGGGCCTGAAGCCGCAGGGCTCAACAGAAGCTGCTGATGGCGACGTCTTTACGATTGAGATGCTCGCCGTCGACCGAGATTTTGGGTGTAGCCTTAGCCAGTGGCAACCAGCTACACGTTGTGTAGGATCTGGTGTTTAGGGTTGTTCAGGATCTCGGATTTGTAGAACTGCAGCTCCAAACTTCACATAGAAAATTCGTATGTCCGAAAACCAACACCCTAAAGTCCAAGGCTCGAGGCCTATTCTGCGTGAATTCCCAAAGCTGGCGGTCCATGAGCACCGCTCATGCTTCCTGTCTTCTCTTCCCCAAACGTTCTATCTGAGTTTCTATATATATATATATGTGCCCACGAACGACATTACCTGAAGAGCTTAAGCCCCAAGACGCACACCTACTCTGCTCTGCTATACACTTGCCCTAAAGCCTAAACTCCAAACCCTATAGCTAAACCTGCACCAGGAAACCCCAGGCCCTAAGCCGAACCACTAGTAACGGAAGGGCTTGAAGATTGCTGTTGGAAGCTTGTTTTCGGAGGTTACCCTACAGTCCTGCTTTATCCAGCTGAGGATGTGACAAGGTGCTACTGTTGATGATATAAATCCTGAACCCTTAAGTTAAGGACCCTAAACTACGGAAATTATGGTATATTTCTCAGACTGGGTCATGCAGGATTGATGTCATCAACCGTATTATTCAGGGGTTAGTGTTCAGGGTTTCCCCATCAAAAGGCCTACAGTAAGAGGGCTGTCTTGTGATGCAGACAACCGCAGCCCAAAGGGAGTACCTTTGGTAGTGGAGGATCTAAGTATGTGCTTTATCGGCACATGAACCCCGAAAGCCCATGCACCCTCTCAGGAGAGCCTTTTCGGCTCTGCATTTGCTTCGATCCAACATTTGTGCTACAGGCCAAGTTTGACGGCACAACGATGCCGTCGTACATTGGCATCCTGGGCAAGGCCAACGCCATGTAGGGTTCCGAGTTTAGTGTTCTGGGTGCGATTGTCGCCGTCGGCTCTCCAAATGAAGGTCTACATGTAGGTCCCCTATGCCTATGCTTCGAAGTTCGGATTTACTTGCAGCCTCGCACTTTGATGCCTGGTCTGCTTGCTAAGCCCAACTGTCTCATCCTGTAAACTTCTGTGCTTGCAACACTGAAATCGAAATTCAATCTCTGTACACAATGTTGCAAGGTTTTGTTTCGGGATGGTTCCACATCTTTGCACAGTAGCTGGGACAACAGGCTCAGTGATGTCATGAGGCAGGCACCTGAATTTGTAAGTGTATATATGTATATATGTATACATATACACATACACACACACACACATATATATATATATATATATATATATAGATGTTCATTGAGCAGCATTCACCGTGAGAAGTCTGATCCAATGCTAGTAGATGCATTTGGCCGGCGCAGGTCTGTCACGCAACCGGCACAGCTACTTACTACAGCCAAGAACTGCAACACCTACAACAACAGCAGCATTCAACGTCATAGTGCTCGTCTGCTAGTCATCTCCGAACCTACTTTCCATGCGACTGACACGTGGATGCAGGTGTATGATGTGAGTGAGTCCAGCAACTTCCAAGCCGGAGGAGGCTCGGGGAGCTACTCGTGAGTTCGCGAGACTCTGGTGTTAGACTTCGGGCTTTGACATCTGAAATTTGATAATGTCAATGGTTTCGGGGGCCCCAAGAGCTTTATATTGGGGGTCGTAGCTTTAGGGTACATTTTTCATGCAGGATTGCAGTAACAATCAGGATCATGAGGTGGATTTTCGATTTAAAGCAGCCCCAGGTGCTACCCATAGGCCCCATAGTAGTTCCTTTTGGGGATTCCCTAATAGGATCCTAAATATAAGCCACCAAAAGGAACTACTATGGGGCCTATAGGTAAACATGCCTAGCCATGAGCCCTACAAATCGGCCGCCCCCCCTTTTGTCACAGGAAGATCTTGCGAAGATGAAATGCTGGTATGCTATCCTAAAGGTCCATGTGAGCAGTATATTCTTTGGGACCAAAGTACCTAGATAGGGATTGCTCTAAGGCCAACGTATATACTATAAAAGAGCCTGCTAGGTGCTTTGGGCTTCTGCGTCTTTCAGAGGATCGCTGTTACGGTTGGGTTCTATTCAGGTTCAGGGCTTAGGGTGTAGGGACCTTACGGAACCCTTTGCCTTAAATCCTCAACCCTTAATCCCCGAGTCCTAAACAAGCCCCAAACCTTACACCCCGAACCCTAAACCCTTAAACCGCAAGTAGCCCGGAAGCCGCGAGACGGGAAACTGAAGATAGGTAGTGTATGTCCGCTATGATTTGGTACTCTCAGCTCTATAGCCTTGCAGAAGCCTGCATACTCCTCTTGCAGAATCAGACCCTCGAAGTTTTTCACCACGGAGAGCACTTGGAGAGCAGCATCCGGATGATCCATTAGTTGCTCTGGAGGCCACTGCCACTTACGGCGGGTGGGACACAAACAAGCCGCTATATATCACCGGAGTATCAGACATTCATCAGATGAATCGTTTGAGGATGGATGCCGGAGGAACTCGATTTGATCATGCGGGCATGTCGTGGACGTCCATCGGGCTACAGCCTGCGTTGGGGCGTTTAGGGTGTCGTCATCTGCATTGTGGTTGTCCGAGCTCTTCGTGGAAGCCGAGGTGCTAAAGCTCAAAGCCTCATCTACAGTCGATGTAGTGGATTTGATTTGAGAGCTGTTTTTTTTTTTTTTGGGGGGGGGGTCCTTATTAAAATTAGGGTATCATCTGCCCCAAAACCCTATTCTGTTTATCGAGGCCCCTATATTAAACTGTTTTTGCGAGTTCTGGGTCTCGGGGTTACATGGGTTTACGATGGACGTCTGAAGAATGAACTCAATAGTAGCATAATTCCGTCATATTACCAATTATAGTCGTTTTTGAGCAATACAAAGACCGACCCCACCACTTTTCTTCCGATACTTCTGGCCCCTGTTACAAGTACTCCACCATCACAAATGCAATTACGTTTCCGATGACTACTACGACGACGACTACTACTTCGACTACGACCACGACGACGACTACGACCACGACGATTACTACTTGAATATTCAGACCCTTAGGCTTCACAGCTTCACGGGGAATCCTCAGACCCCTCGGTGCAGGCTACGGGGATCTGTGGGCGGGAAGCGATGCGACCTTCGCTCTCGCCACCCTGTCACTGGAGAAGAAGGATCGGAACAGGCCTGCAGTCTGCAGTTTAGGGTTTAGGGTTTAGGGGCTTGATGAGTGTCTAGGGAAAGCTCAAATGTGGGCCAGTTGTGTTCAGGGCTTTGGTGTTGAATGTTGCGTGGTTTGGCTGCGATTTGAGGTGCAGTGTTGGTTCAGGACGACTCCCCGCGCTCAACGCTCAAGTGACCTCTGTATAGAGTTTCGGACATGGAGGTGGTTCGGTTCAGGCTTGAGCATTCTCACAAAGAGTCGTAAGCCGTCTACTGAGAGCCCCCAGCCCTGAACCCAGAACTACAATCCCAAGCCTAAACCCGAGACCCGAAACCGATGAATGTTACAAATCCCCGAGGCTGACTACCAACGACAAGCCCCACACCTCTGAACCCTTAGCCTAGAACCCCATAAATTCTAAGCCCTACATGCTGCACCCGTAGGCCAGTAGTTCCTTTCTGTGGCTTCTATTCAGGAGCCTATTAGGTAATCCCAAAAAGGAACTACTATAGAGCCTATGGGCACTCCCAAGTTGAAGATTCCCTAAACTCTAAACTCTAAGCCTAAACCCCCTAAACCCTAAACCCTAAACCCTAAACCCTAAACCTAAACCTAAACCCTAATCATTTAAGATGATGATCACAAACGGAGAGGCTCGACTGGACCATGGAGCAGTTCAACGATCAGCAGCTGAGGGCTCTAGCTGCCTGGTCCTAGCCTCGGATAGGGGCAAATATTACTATAATTAGCTGTTCGTGGTTTAGGGCTTAGGGTTTAGGGTCTAGGGTAGGGGGTAGTTCTCTAAGTTAGGGTCCCTTTTTAGGTCCCCAGTATAGTACGGCACCCTTATAAAAAAGACCCTAGAAGGGACCCTGATTTTGAAAACTACTCAGGGGCAAATGATTACTATAATTAGCTGTTCGTGACGCTTGTGCTTAGGAAGGGGCAAATATTTAAATTAGCTGTTCGTGACAATTGTGTTTTAGGACGGTTGAAACTTCTTTAATTCTGACTTTGTATGCATATTGAAGAATTTCGTTGGCTTCTCAGCGCCGTATAAGAGCTGCCTAAATGTGAGGAGTTTCACTTCATTGCCATAAGCTGCAACAGGGGCACTGGTGTTTTGATGATAGGATACGAAGGTGTACAGCTGGAGAAGCAATCCTCCAACGGCAGAGTTTCAGGTTCAAGCCTAGCACACGCCAGCATTGTTATCTGGGGAAAAAATCTCTTCCGCTGTAGGGTAAATGACCCCCACATCCTACCTACCGTACGGGTCCAAACGAAAATGAAAGCAATAATGTCAGGACGAGAGGTGGCAGCATTTCGGTGACCATGTGCATCGCCAAGCCCCTTTGTAAACTATACACACCAGGTCGCCTAACGGCTCAATCATCCCAATCCTCTGCGCTGCATAGTATGAATATTGCAGAGCATTGCCCCAAACACTGCTCGAATTCCTAGGGCATCTAGTTTCAGTTCTTTAATTCCCAACCTGAAGCCGACCTCCTTCACTACACCACGAACCTTCCACTGCTCCCTAAATCCTAAACCCTAAACCCTAAACCCCTAAACCCTAAACCCTAAATCCTAAACCCTAAACCCTAAACCCCTAAACCCTAAATCCTAAACCCTAAACAGCCCAAACCATTGAGCCGCAGGTCTCTAAAACCTCGAAGCCCTAGTACCTCAACGCAAGCCTGCGTTCCCCTAAACCCTAAATCCCCAAACCCCAAGCCTAAACTCTATTCCCTGGGCCAAAATGCACCGATATCTGCTCCAGAAAGCAACACCTAACACCCTAAACCCTAAACCCTACACCCTAACCCCTAAGCCCTAAACCCCAACTAACTTCTAAACCTTGCAAGCACAAGGTCTTCTATTCTGAAACCCAAAGCCCTGGGCCCTAAACCACGAACTTGTAAAATCTCAAGCAGATATGCCGAAACTGTAAGGGTTTAGGGCTTAGGGTTTAGGGAAAAACTCAAGGCCGTGAACCTTCGAACCTACACCCTAAACCCTAAACCCTGAAACCTTAAAACCCTAAACCCTGGGTGCTCAGGAAGAGGTACTTCGATGTGAAGTATCCAGTGGTCGGGACCTTGAAGGAGTACCAAGGCCAGGTTTGTTTACGGGTTTATTTTAGGGTTTAGGGTTTATAGGGTTTAGGGGTTAGGGCTTTAGGCTTTAGGGTTTAGGGTATAGGGTTTCGGGCTTTAAGGTTTTAAGGTTTCAGGGTTTAGCGTTTAAGGTTCAAGGTTTTAGGGTTTGATGTGTAGGGTTTCTCGTTTATGGTTGAAGGTTTAAGGATTTGGGGCTTATACGAGTCTGGGGGCTACAGTTTAGGAATCAAGGTTTAGATCTGACGGGTTGGAGGTCCAGAGTTGCGTATTGTATTATGCATCTATAGCTAGTTTTTTTTTGGTTTGGGGATTTGGGGTTTAGGGGTTTAGGATTTAGGGTTTAGGAGTTTAGGTTTTAAAGTTTCAAGATTAGGATATTGAGGCTCAGAGTTAATTAGAGCAATAATTAGGGCAGTTGCAGCGGGTCGGCTGTTTGGGGTCTAGCGCTTCGGGGGGCCTATGTTGCTTTTTGTGTAGGGCCGAGAGATGCCTCTAGCTGCCTAGAGGCCGCCAATAGCCTTGTAATCTGGCTCTTCGAGCTTGTGGTGTCTCAGGACTCCAGGACTAAAGCCCTAAACCCTGGGTTTAGGGTTTAGGGTTTAGTGGTTTGGGGTTTAGGGTTTAGGGTTTAGGGTAAACCCTCAAAGTCAAGCGCCTGCATTGATGGGAGGTTGAACCCCAACCCTTGATAACTCCTAAGCTTAAACCCGATATTCTACACACAGGCGCAAACCCATGTAAACCAACCCAACAGAAGATGCTCCTCACAATGGGTGCCCTTGAGTGTTGGATGCTGCGCCCATACTTTCCCTACATCAACGCAGTCCTAAGTCGTCGTGACCCCATTGCCACCTCTAAACCGTTTTCCTAATGTCTCATGATAGCCCTAAACCCTAAACCCTAAACCCTAAACCTTAACCGTCGTATCTGCAGGCTTCTCAAAGGTTGAGGGATGCGCTTTGGGCGTCCCTTGTAAAACCCCAGAGACGCCCATATGGGAGTTTCCGACAATTAGGGAACCTTATTCTGGGGTCCTTATAACAAGGAACCTATTGTTTAGGGTTTAGAGTTTAGGGTTTAGGGTTTAGAGTTTCCTATTGGGAGTTTCCGAAAATACGGGGTACCTTATTCTGGGGTCCTTATAATAAGGAACCTATTGCTTAGGGTACTCTAGGGAGGTCCCTATTTTTGGAGACCCCCATATGAAAGGCTCATACCTAAACACCTTCGAGAAGCTTTGAGTGTTAAATCCCAGCCTATTATACGTCCTAACTTAAATCCTAGCCTATAACCTCTCTCTGAAACCCCTGATCCCTTAAGGGGCCCGTCGCAGGCCGCAATGTGCAACTTCCCGAGACAGCGTTCGGGCCTCGGATGCCCACGTAATGAGCCCAACTGGCCCCAAAGCGTTGAGGGCCCCCCAGGAGCCAGTAATTTGAGGTTTTCTAGGGGTCTTAAGTTAAGGGTCCCGAGGACCCAATATTAGCCCGGGGGGGGGGGGGGGCTATGACTTGTCGGTATGTCGACCTTCGAAGCAGAGCCTGCCCATAGGCCTCATCGTAGTTCCTTTTTGTGGCTTATATTTAGGATCCCATTAGGGAATCCCAAGAAGCAACTACTATGGGGCCTATGGGTGGAGCCTAAAGCATGTTGCTTTGGAAGGGGGGAGGGCGTATGTAGGATGGTTTTTCTCCTTCCTGTAGGCATTGTACCGTGGGTTTTTTTTATATAGCTTTCATCATGTAGGAACCTGATTAAGAAACCCCGGCCCTATAACCCCAAAAGTAGGATTCATACAAAGAGCCCTAATAAAGTCCCAGGGTCTCGTAATCAGGTTCCTACATTATGTGGTTTAGGATTAAAGTAGGGAGGGCGTAAGGTCGGGTTTGTGTCTTGTTCGTGTTTGTAAATCTTTAAGGCCGGGATCCGTGGTTTACGGTTGAGGGCCGTTGCGACAGGCACATGAACATCAGGATCTCGTCTTCGCGTGTAATGAGGATGTAGCAGTATGTCAGATGATTCGTACTCAGTCGGCAGGGCATTGGAAGTTAACAAAACAGAATGTTCGTAACAATAATACTGACAATATTGATAACAATAACAACAGTACAATCTGATAGGGGTAATGTCAGTAACATTGAGAAGAACAATAAGAAGTATCACAACAAGAGTAATCATAGTAGTAATCTTTGCAATAGCGTTTTGTAGTAATGCCAATGGTTCTTAGATTCCTTTAGCTCGTCTTACAGGAACCATGATTGAACCCTTTAGCCTAAAACAGAGCTGAGGGACTGCAGTCTTGTCTGCCGCCCCTAAACCCTAAACCCTAAACCCTAAACCGTGGCTCTGTCAGGCTCAGGCTTTGCGTTATTGCTTTGCTTCAGTCTTGTGGATCCTGATAGCCATGGCCGAGACAAACCAGCCTGTTCAAGGTCAAGTGGTGCAGGCTCCTCGCCTAATTTAGGGTTTAGGGTTTAGGGTATAGGGGTTAGGGTTAATGTAGAGGCCTTAATAAATAGAATAGGGTTTTGAGTCCTTTTGAGGTGTTTTATGCTGTAGTTCTACTACCACCAAAACCCTATTCTAATTATTAAGGTATTAAGGCCCCTATATTAAGGTGGTAGAACGCTTCAGGGTTTGGGGTATTTCTCGTTGCATCTAGGGTGCCTGTAATTTCAGGCGTAGACTTTACAAGCGGATTCGACTTGTCTGCACTTTGGCACAAAAGGTACGGATCAGAGAGTGCCCGGAGCACGCGCTAGTTGAGTCCTTTGGGCTTTTATGAAGTCTGCGGACATGTGCAGCTCAATAGCAGGCTTCGGGTTTCGTGATCTTGAATTCGGATTGTCTCCCCAAAATGCCAGGCAGGGACGTCTCTCTGATCTGCAACCCAAAGCCTAATGCAGATTCCAAACCTTAAGCTGAATCTCCGAGCTAGTATTAGGGAGACCCCTTAAAGGGGACCCTTCTTAACCCTACTTATGGCTCTCCGAAAAGTGACCTTACTGAGAGGGTCTATATCCCCAAGGGTGCCCCGAATCCTAAGTCCCACGAAAGTAGCAGCCTTTGCCACCTTAGAGATCAAAGCCTCCAAATACTCGAGAGCCTAAACCCCTTAAGTAGTATACTAAGTTTGCAAAAAAACCAGCCCCCTCCGGAATAGCATGTGAAGTTACTTCGGCCCCGATAACTTAACTTCTGTGATTCGGGTCTAGAGTCTAAGAACGGGGTTTAGGGACTAGGGTTTAGGGTTTAGGGGTGTAGTTCAAGTGTCCCAAAGCCGATCAGTTACACCTTGAGATCCAGCCGACTGCAATTTAGTGTGTGATCCGTGGTTCTCTGAACCCCAAGCCCTAAACTCTGTACCGATATCGGTCTCTGGGAAGCCGCCCCGATCTTCTAGTACCCGTCCCCTGAGCGGATAATTTAGGGGCAAACATGGTTCCTACTATTCCTTGACCCGGAGGGTCCACAGATGCTACCATTGCGGAATTTCGTCACTAGACCTTCAGAAGGACGGTCTTTTGGGACCTAATTGACTCCATAAGGCTTGTGTGTGTATATATATATATATATATATACTTGTTTTTTTTATGGAGCCTCTGCATAAGGGATCCTTACTGTAGTCACGTTAAAGCTTATATCGCATCAGAGCCCAATACCCCTTCATGTAGGAGTATACCTGGAGCACAAGTAGCATAGGTCGTTGCTTTAGGCGTTCGGTTAACAGTTGTAGGGCTTACGTGAACCCCAAACCCTAAACCCCAAACCCTAAACCCTAAACCCAAAACCCTAAACCTCAACCCCTAAACCCTAAACCC